GGATTCCATCGTCAGTGATCTTCATTTCTTACTTACTGCTTTTGCTCACAATGGTTACCCCAAACGATTTATCGATAGGGTGGTAATGCTAGAACGTGAGGTGCAGTCAAAGGAAATAGAAGCAGTTAATAGGTCTGTGTGCATCTGCCGTTCAAGGGACGTGGAAATCTTTCAAAAAAGCTCACAAGTGCGGTAAGCAGAACATTGTACGCTCCCCAATTAAAAGCTGTGTTCACACCCAAACCAATTATGTGTTTCCGATTGAAGAACAGAGTACCAGGTTCTTCAGTCTCATTTTGTGTGCACTGATNTGGCCGCACGACCAGGCGCTTATCCGATCGCGTTTGCGAACACCACCCGGGCTTGGCTGATGATAGGAACAATTGATATATATGCAAGCGCGGTGTGTTCGCCTCTCGTTGAGTCAAATCACTCGGTGGATTTGGCAATTGCGGTCCGACCGTTCAGGTTCGATGTAGGCAATCAAGTGCAGTGAAGCATCGTATGTTAGTCACGACCGAAGCCGTGAGTTTTCGGATTCACAACCACCCACCCCCGCCCACCTTGTGCACCCTTGGCCCACTTCATTCATGTGTGCGATCACTTGAGCTCTTCCCACTGTGATAAATTTCACATAAGCACACATGTAATTATGATTGTAACCAGAGTCGGACCATTAGGACTCGAATCTCTCATTCCACATTTGTTTTTGTGCATCATGTTTAATGCTATTTGATGGCATAATTACGAATAACTGAAAATTAGCTGGTTCGTTTCGCTGCTGTTGTTCACCAGAGTGTTCTGTGGGACTAATTCCAACGTTCGCTTCCCATTTGCTGAGTCTCTAGCGTACTAGCGTGAACCAATCGATCCAGTTACGATCCGAACTCGACAACTAACACATAAAATGTGAGCATACTATTGACTGAACAAGTGAGCAGTTAACTTGACTGTTTAAATTAGTCCATACAAGTTATAACGCAATAGAACTTTTGAAACCGGTTAAGGATATTTGACCTAGGTCAACTAGCACCAATTTCTGATGTTATGGCTCAACAAAACCAAAACATTTGCGCTACAGTGAATCCAGGCAATTCAATTTATCCTTTAAATTATGCTATTTGGTAGATTAGAATGTTTACTTTTTTCAATTGTGAAATGTTCACTAGCCTGTGCGGGATTTTAAGCTGCGCATGGGTGCTTCTTGTGCTTTTCCATAGCCTACCCTCTACCGGTTAAGTGAGCTACACCGATAGCTCGAATCTTGCCACACGTGGATTACAATCCAACGTACAGAGGCAAATGGAGTATACCAAAGAGTACCTAAGCGAACTGCCACGAGAGTTCGTCTTTGGAATCCACAGTTAATTGTCCATGTTCGGCAGGTGGAAATCTTATGTTCTTGGATTTCGGTGAACTCAAAGGGAAACCTATCGTGACAATCACCTTACATGCTATTCGGTGGACGCCATATGCCTTGTGAATTGGATGGGTGATTCAATTATGATATGCTATCGGTGTATCTTCGTAGCTCAGCTAGTAAATAAAGTACACTCTGTACAGAAGCGTAGGTGGTGCCTGTGTGTGGGTTGGAATCGCACCGAGGCCACCGAACTTGTCCAATATTAAAATCCATATTCAGTTAACGTACGTTTACACAAATTAAAACTCTCTTATATGAGCAAGGCTATTTGCAGATTCGCATTTATGCAGTAACAAAAACAAACAAACAAGTGACTACCTGTTTTTGAAGCTTTATCCAAGTCAAAGCCTTTTTTCCTAGTATTGGTGATTTGGTTCCAAATATCCGATCTTTCAATCTTAACACCTTCATATCATCCGGAAAAGTGAGTACGCAATTTCTGGCCACGCTGGATATCGTGTGGATCAATTGAATAACTGGCGTATAAACAAAACACACCGTTTTCCTCAGTCACGTGACTACTAGTCATTTTGGCTACGGTCAGTCAAATCCCGCCACATGCTAGCTTGACTTCTGGTCTCAACACAAACAGATTGGTCTGAAATGAGCCACAAGTCTCCAGGGGAACCGAGTCTTTTGATTTGGGTTGAGGCCCAAAAGGTCAAAGCACTAGATCAATTATTGGTTCATATATATCCGCTGTAGAGAATGATACGAGAGGAAGATCGTGTTTTCCCAACCCGAAAGTCAATTTTATCAAGGTGAAACTGCGAGCATTTTGCAGGAATAAGCGGAGTAATGCGCCTTGATCAAAATATTGTAATTTACTTTTCCGCACCGCAAAGAACAGATATGAGAGTCCATGGACACACAAGTATACTTATCTGGTACTTCAAAGTTGCGTTGAGCAATCGATTGTTCATTACATACGATAACTATGCAATCTGATTGAGCCTGAACGACTCAGAAAACATATGATTGTCATGAATCTTGGTCTAGACGATACATTACTATGCAACCATACATACCTATTCAGCGAGTTGTTTTGCCTATGCCCTCACGGGACAGAGCCGCTTGCAACTGGGCGCGTTTCCAGTGAGTAGTTCGGGCCACGGCCACAGAAAAGAGCGGGTTACCGTGACTAACACAAACCCAGATAAATAAAATAAGCGATCGTCGCATGCAATCAGCGGGAATGCATGACAATGTGGTGAGTTGTTCAAACCGGCACTAGTCTGATAAAGATATTGTAGAGTAACGAATGCGACAATCACTGCTTGTTCCGTTCCGTTCCGTCCAATAGACAATATTTTCCCTCCGCGGCCGAACGAACCAGACTAATGTCCACAAGCTTGGATCAGAAGCAGAATTTGGCTACTAGGCAGATTGATCTTATATTTAAAATGTATAGAAGTGCAATCTCACACAGAAAGGGCAGCTGGTGTGGAGGGCATCGCTTGGCATCTGTTTGTCGAGAATGTGAATAAAATAACTTGTGATACCTTTGCAGACTATGAATCCTCGCGCAAGAGATAATCGTAAGTTGTCAAGTATTTTCCGCTACGGGTTTTGAAGACCATGCTGTGTGTACGGTTTTCGTCCAGTTGCGGGAAATATGCAGACATTGATCGGGAAAATTACCCTATGCGATAATTGGTGACAAACTACCATAACTGAGGTAATGCACCAATACAGATTAAAAAGGAGAAAGCGATTTAGACCATTGGCCCTTTGTGCTAGCGTTAACGACTTCTCTTCGTCATGGTTAGTATCCTCATCGAAAAAAACCCAGGTAGGTATCAATTAACGCACAAGGTCGGATTGAATTCCACGTGGATGTGGATGTATGTACCTTTGGAATGGCTTGAAAATAGCAAACACAAAAGCCGGTCTGGCACTTTGCTTTTCGAGCGGAACAAATAAAATCGGGGCCTTTTATTGATGCACTCACCTTTGCCTTGATCCGATTCCGGTGTGCTCGGTTTGGCCTCTTCTTCTTGATCAGCTTTCGGTTCGGTTTTGCCCATCTTCTATATTGTCCGGCGCAATCGCAACCGTGCCCGCTCGCTGTACTCCGGATGTTATCCACACTGCTGGATCCGCGAAATGACCGGACCGTGCGTGACACGGGAAAATGATTATCTAACCCGAAACGGACGCTTGTTGTTCAAGGTTACGATCCATGTCGATCCAACAAACTATTGCCATGTTTTAAGCCATTGTTATCTCATATCGTCATGACAACAACTGGTTGAGAACTGACATGTGGCTTACGTGTGCACGCATGCATGTACACACACATGTTTGTGTGCGTGTGTGCGCGCGTTCTCGCCATTGTTCACATACAGGAGGTCCTGTGTTTGCAGTCCTGTGGTGTGTGTGTGTGTGTGTGTGTGTACCTGCGAGTGTGCGCGAACTCATCTACCACTTTTGGGATAATCAACATCTTCCATGCGGTTCACTGCACATGGTCAAAACAAAAATCCATTGTTTTAATCCCAGCTGTTCCCAGTGTACACATAGACATACATAGACACAAGCAAATATACTGTTCCTTTCATCCTCCCCATCAACGCTTATGAAATTGTGTTCTCCACACCTCTCCCCCACATACTATGAACCCCTCTCTGCCCTACCAGCCCACTCCCCTCCCCCCGCCACCGTCCGCCGCAAATTTGTTCATGCATATAATAAGGTTACATACTTAGTCCACGCTGTTCCAGGAAGCAAGCCTGCGCTAAATTGACAATCCCCATTGAAAAAAAAACATGCTGGCTTTCAGTTATTACCTATCTGTGAGCCCTTTTTGAAAAATGCTGGCTAAATAAAAGTGGAAAAATTTCTCACAGAAATCATATTGTATCTTTCCAGTGCGTCAAAGCTGACAAACAGAACTGGCAAACAAAGTCATGATGTTAACAAATATTTTCGGTTGCTGATCATGCTTTCAATTTTTATCCGGTCCTTGCCTGTTGAATTAACTGTTGGCGTTCTATACAGAAAGCTTTAGGAAATCTGTTTCACTCATTGAAGATGTTATCAACTAAAAAAAACAAGATATTTACGCTGACTTCTCTGTAAAATACCCACGTTGGAAAATCAGGTTTCATTGTTTTCAATGGGTTTTTCAAATGATCCCATAGAACACACTGATTGTAAAACACCCAGACCAGAAGGCTACCGCGCAGTTATTGACGATCATGCCTATTGACAAGGGCCGAGCAAAACGTTTACGGATATGCTCACGCAGTACATGAGTACGAGTTGCAGATGACTGGGTTGAGAAAACGTTCACTGTTATCTAGTGTTGAGAATATTGTTCATTGGTTGCAACTCACAGAACCAAATATCAACAGCTGAGCACAGCTCACAAGTCATACTTTGATGGAAAGTGATAGATACAAAGAGAGCCCCAGCTAGTGACAGAATAAAGATTAGAGCCCATCCAACCAGATGCGCAAATGTAGCGGCTGGAAGTGCTTCATGAAACAATGTCGACTACCACTCGAAATGCACGAATCGACAATTACAGCTCGACGGACAATCTGCATCTGGCTAGAAAGATGCCCACCGAATGCCACAACGTCGAAGCTGTTGATCAACGTATCGCACACTATGATCGGATTAAACCAGTCGGAACGACACGCGGAAGAAGAGGCAACATACGTGTCAAGTGCGGACCAAAACCAACAGGGATTGACCAACAGAATTAGGCATGAATCATCCTGCCGCGCGGTTAAGAATTGGTTGAACTCATAACACTGTTTGTTTTCAAATAGAATGAATAAACGTTTTGCCAGCCAACTCGCATTCTCGTTACAATACGAGGGTTGCTAAACTCGGACTGTAAGGATGGAACTCAGTCGATTACACTGGAGGGTGACAGTTTTAGACGACTACGAATGTTATTTCAAGCATCAGTAGACTGTTAAACGTTTGCGATCACGCGCCTTCAAGCAGAACTGGCTGTGTTTGAGTTGACAGCAGAATTCGAGCATGTTTCCAGAACGATGAGAACCGGCTTGGTCGACCTGTGCAGACCATCAGAGGAGACAACATTGCCGCTATACAAGCGATGGTGAAGGATGATGCGCAGATGACCGTGGCACAATTGGAAATGTCAATGGGATCTCGTTGGGATCAATACGCCCCATCCTATCTGGGAAAACAGGTCTCTGAAAGGTTTCGCACACTGGGTATCCCATCAGCTCAGTGAGGAGCAGAAAATAGTTCGGGTGATTTGGTGTAGCACCAGTCTTGCCAAATTTGATGGTGAACGCTCCATTGCAGTTTGGGTGATCATCCGTGGTGATGAGACCTAGATTTACAGTTTCGACCCATAGAGACCAAGCAACAATCGGTTCGATGGACGCTTGTTGGTGGGGTGCTGCCTCAGAGATTCCAACGCAAGCACAGTGTGGCAAAGTAGACGATGACTGTGTTTATGGCCAAAACCGGTTAAGTGGCTACTGTACCACTCGTGCAGTAAAGCGCAGTCATTGGAGACTGGTACAACATCCCCTTTTCGCCAAAAATGCTGGAAGATTTTGCCAGATGTCGTTTAAGGACTGAAGCACAAGGGACCTGGTTGCACCACAGCAATGCAGTTGCACACAGGTCCCATGTCGTCCGCTATTTTCTGGCTAGATAACGCATTAAGGAGGTTTTGTCATTCACTCTACAGTTCAGACTTGTCTCCGTGTCACATTTTATGTTCTCAAATGTCAACCGCATGATCCATGGAATCCGATATGATTCACCAACAGCCTCAGCCGGGGCCTTCACTGAACTGGTCGACTGAGTTGTCCGCTTTGGCATAATCGAGCTGTTTCAACAAATGATTTGAGCGTGAGAAACTTCGCATGAACGCTGATGTAGTTCGACCTTTTTTAATCTAAAATATAAAACGTATTGTGCATCCGGTGACCTTTTGATCAGCCCTCGTAGATGAGCATTTGAGAGGCTTCCTAAAAATTGACTTGTTGACAGACTGACATTAATTGAATACTGCCTAAAAAGACACACGATCGAAACGTTCTTAAGGAAGCACTCCGGATCTGAGTGACAAATCTAATAGATGTGATTAAAACGCAGAAGCAAAGCAAGTTGATTAAAACACTAACGCAGGGAGTTCGGTCGAAAAGAGCGGAAAGATGAACAATTGGAAATAGATAATAGGTTGTAAAGTACCCTCGTACCAACCGATCTATGCAAATGCATGCTTGTGCAGTGAATTAATCACTATCAGTGGTGTACTTTGAACCCCGGGGTTCCGGGGATTCGAACTCCGCCACCGGTAGTCAACCCTGCTGATAGGCAGCTTTACTGTCGTCCGGTTCTTTACCACACCGAATCTAGGGGAGACATATGTGATTCATTACTTCAAAAGCGTACACATTTGGTTTCATCAACAGGTCTTCTTGAAGGTGACGTTCACCCTATCTGTTGTTCTTCGCACAAATGTGTACAAATTATAACAATTGATTTCATACAGTTCCACTATCGTTACTTTTGGCCGTATTAACTTTTACCTTCATCCCTGCCCAGTTGAACATTGTTTTTCTCTAATTTTGGAGTTATCTCAAAATAATTAATTAGGACAAAACTCATGTTCCCTGTGCACCAATGCCCGTAATTTTGGTTGAAGGGGAGAAAAAGGACAGGTTTTGTTCCCCCCAAAAATGTGAGAACTCGGGCCCGAAATGAGTAGCTATTGTTGCGTGTATTGTTCTCCTCGTTGCTGGGCAATACTCCCTAGTTGCTCACGTGAATGATTGACGAGGGGGGGGG